TCCAATTGCAATGTTTGCTGCTGAGGGCTTACTTGTTAAAAGCGTCAGTATAATAGCCAAGGTAATGGCAAAAGTGCAATTGCGAGTCCAAGTAAATAAAAACTATTCAAATATGCAAAATACAATGCAAAATGAAGAGCACGGAGCATAGCCGAAGGGCCCAGTTGATGTGTGTGTATCTCAAGTGCATAAATTCGCTTGTTAAATCCTGATTGATACTCCATCCCGGGATAGAAGTCTTCGGGCTCCGTTTCAGCAGTTACGGAGAAAAAAATATCCATTTATTGCTATCATATTTTACACAATGCGGAAGACGAGTGCTATAGTGCACAGGACTTGACTTCCTCTGGGCCATAACATCCTGGTATTTTAGTTTTGCACATTTCATCCGGAAAAAGACAACTGTTTAGTTACCATAATTTTGAGTATTAATTACTAGCATTTTTGTATACTTTCAGTTTTATTTGGCAAACAATAGTTTCAGACTCCAGTTCCGTTTCAAATATGTTGTTTTTTTTTTTTTTTAATTTTTAGTTTGGTCAAGAACTTCTAACCCTTTCAAAGAGCCAATTTAGAACCGTTGAAGTATTCGTTTTTTTCAAAACTGTCATAGCTAAACAAAATGTTAAGCGTGGAAAAAACTGTCAACCACATGACAGTCTAGTTGACACATGAGAAACAAAGGCTAGTCAGATGGAAATTGATTAATTTTTCTAGCGCTTTTGAAGGCTTCTACAAAGCGTCGAGGAAATTGAAAAAAACTGCAACTGGCATCCTAGTCAGGGTATTGGGGACTGCACGACTGTTTCAGTTTTCTTAGAACCTTAATAGCTCAAAAAGAAAACCCTAAAATCATCATGGACATCGATGGCGTAAATTTTTAGATAGTTCAAACGTGAAGAAACGCCAGAGAGGGCAGACATTGGCGAAATATAATGCCACCATTTCAAAGCGACATCGGCTGGATAGAAAACCAGGCACATAATCTACGCAGGCATCCTTGCGTAAGGAGTGTTTTTTCGGTCCCAGTAGTGGCAGTTGTGGGCACTTTGCTGATGCTCGTGAATTGAACGTATATAAACACATAACGGCTGAGGAAATGAAAAATTCTCCACCACCAACCACTTCATGTATACTTATGTTTAGGACCTGCAAGCAAGCAGTGCTATTATCTTTTAAGCCCCTATCACGTTAAAACAATTCATACCCTACCATTTTATTAAGTTTTTATTCAGAAATTATTCATGAATACTCACCACTTACTCGATATACAACTATACAATTGATTTTTTTTTGTGTTATTAAAATCTTTACTGATGTCTATCCAGTCTAGATGTTCGTGATGGTGTTTCTGCCAGTTTTTAAAAAATCTTCAACCAACGATGAGCATCACACCTTTTATCGATGTCGCTATTGTGGTTCATCTTCGTTTCGCTGGCAATTTCCTCATCGGCGGTATCCTGACGAGTAAGGCGCTCTGCAACCCGCTCAAAGGGGCGCTTTGTGCGTGGCCTGGTGGGCGCGTATTAGGACCCGCATTCAATAGTTGGCGATGAATTCGCTTTTATGTGTTATTGCATATTTGTGCCCTATAAGGCAGTCTCTGTGGTAGACCCCCTTAGCCCAAGAAAGTCCACGGTTATTATTGCCTGCTCAACCATATTGGGTTAATGGCAAATTGAAACGCGATTGAAAAGGGCCCGAAGATGCTGCTTACTTCACGTCGTAATTGAATTAAATTTAATGGCATATTTCAGATGCCTTTTGCGGTGGGCGTGGCATGCGGCACATGTAAAAGCATTTTTCTGCTCGCCTTTTGTCGCTGCTGTTAATTTGCTTCAAGTGCGTGCAGGTCGACGAAAGTGTCGTAAAGTGCGATCAAATTGAATTTCATTTTAGATTCGCATACTTCGCTTTGTGCAGCTTTTTATGAGGTGTGTAAGTGTAACGGATGTGTTGTGTTTAACACGACCAAAAAAAAATTTATTATATTAATTAAATTCGTTTACGCCATAGCTTTGGGGTACGGATTATTTTAGAACTTTCATATGTTGTATATGCAAATCGGGGTTAAGCATATATTATGATTTATCTCATTAATAATTATATTTAGCTATTAATTACAAAAACAAAAAGAAACTAAAAACGCAAGGGAACTTTCATGTGTTATTGCGTAATTGCGCACTGTTGATGTATCTTTTGGGTCCGAAAGTATTCGATGGCAAAGGGCTTGAAACCCAAACCCAAGCTCAAACTTGAAAGTTTCGTTCCGTTATTTTCTCAGCGCATAATTGGAATAATATTTGATTAAAACATTTTATTTCAATTACACAAATGGCAGAGCAGAAGAGAAGCAAACTAAGCACGCAGTGTACACTTGCCGGCGGCTCATTGTCCAACCGGTCCGACTGGAGAAACTGAGGCAGAAACTGAAGCCAAACCCAAGACCAAAAGCAGCTGCTCGATTCGCTGGAGCTGAAGTCGACGCTGTGCAACTGTTACCCAGAAGCTGTTTAAAAATTAATAAAGGAATAAAGTGAGGAAAAACAATGCCGGAAAAACGACAATTAGCTGGACAGTTGAATAAAATAAAGCATTTGGAATCAAGAAAAGCGTAAGACAACGGAATGTTTTCGGAAATGCAGGAACAGCTAGGCACAATTTCTTAGCTAATATATAACTAAATTTTTTGACCTTTATACCTTTTTTCAAGTATTTAATGAAAAATCCGTTTTAAAAGTATATACATACCTACATATATCAAAATATTGGTTTAAAATAACTCAAGCATTATGAAAAGGTATTCATGCAATTGATATTTGTGGTTGTGCCTTGGGAGTATCGGCTTTTTTTAAATGATTACATGCTGACACAACATCACAATATACCCCTGCACAATGATTTTGTCGAATACAAAACCTGAATTAAATGAGGCAGTTATTAAGACTTCCTTCTTTTCTTGCTCTTCTTGTTTTTGTTGCTTTAGCTAAACATGACCAAGTTATTGCCTCAATCATTTACCACAGTTTGAAAAGGAGCTGAGTAGATCTGGGCTATGATAAAAGTTTCAAGTACCCTCCAATGCCGATATAATTGTCTGTGTTAATTGAAAAAGTTGCTACTGCTGATGCAGCTGTTGCTGCTTAATTTGCATTAGTTTTCAAGTGGAACTGTGATTGAGTTTTCAAAGTGTCCTGTTTGGTAAGCACAAGCGGATGCACAAGAAGACAGCTGAATCACATTTGCCAAAATCTACTTCAAGCATATCTAATCCCTGCATTGCCCTTCAAGCCGAACTCGACCGAAAGGACAGAACCGCAGTCCTTTGTATTTGCCCATTGTTGTGTTGATTATTGGTTTTGCCGTATTAGTTGCCATTATGCATGTCTATAATATGCAATTAATTAATGTTCAATGCAAATTACAGACTGCAATCTGCCGGTCTGCAACATCAATCAGTTTGAATGAAACCCATCCCACAGTATCGGCTCGATTATCAAGAAAACATATTCCAAATGGAAAGTATTATGTCTTACGCAGCTGTTGGAAACTCTGCATAAATTGTAATTGAATTAGCAGATGCAATCGAATCGATTTCATGAAAATTCTCATTGATTTACAAATCCTTTTTCAGTGGGATGAGTTTAGAGAGAAACAAAATTAATCTATGCACATCAAACTTGAATACGAAAACGGCTCTAAGTGGATTTTCCTTCCTCAGGGGCGTAGATGGGTGTGAAACAAACAAATGACTTATTCCAAGAATACCAGAATACATAAACAAAAGTTTAACTAAAAACAGTTGTTAAATGGTTATGAACCTAGCAAAAAAAAAAAAAACTACAAATTGCAAGTTAAGCGGGAAAACTCGATAATTTAAGGGTGCCACATGCAGCACCAGCAAGTCGAAGGATCAACATGTTACATGTACAACAAATCAACATATCTTTCGGGCACAGAATAAATAACCAATTCTTGTTTTTACTATTAATGAATGCTTTTAATTTTAAATTGTTTAGTGCATCCGCGGCACATCATCCATTTTAAACGACTTATTGTTTATCTGCTTTTAAGTTCTGCATACAAACTGACCATTCTTTAGCTTCAAAAAATATGATACATACAAAATTCTAACAGAGCCGTCCGCTAGAATTGAACGCCTCTGGATATCTGCGAGAAGTTTAATGGAATTTTTAACAGTTTTGCAACAGTGATTTGCCAGCCGCAGAGAACCCAACACAGATCCACCACAACTGTGTCCCTTATCCGCTGTTTATTTTCAGGCATATGCGAAGTCTCCTGCTTGGCGTGCACAGAAATTAAGTTTTAAAACTTTGTTTGTGCGGCCGTCAGTTTTGTAATTGACATATGCAATTTCTTTGGCAGGTGGAAATAGGAACTTGTTGTCTGCCTGGAGCTTAAGTAATTTTATACCCCAACAAAAAAGATAGCATTTATAACGAAAATCTTTAAAATTATTACAACTATTGTTGGCCGAATACTCAAAGTGTCAGCGTACTCTATAGTATCTATGCAACTATGTATATTACAAACAGAAGTTAACTCGATTTCCCATTAAAAAAAAATGTTTATTGCTTTAACCATGTTACTTTGTATTTATGCAGGTCTTTGCTAAAATCCCTGACAACCTTTATAAGAAAACTCATCTAACCACAAAACACATTTTAACTCTCAAAAAAGCAACCAAAAAATTATCAATAAAAATGATATTATAAAAACATTCACGACTACCGATAATATCAGCTATCAATAAGACGGTATACGGTTTTCTGGGGTAACCCCCGAAAGTCGTGTGATGGCTGACTCAGTCTGGTTCTCCAGAAGTTTAAAATGCAAAGTGCGAAACCTCCACCTTAATCGATATCTAATTGATTAATTACATATATTTCACCAGCAGTAAAGATAAGGGTTTCCTATAAAAGGCGTATCTTTGTGTGGTAAATATCCATTCGGTAGTTAGCTGACTTCTAGATACGAATATGGTTCTCTCCCCCAAACTGCTCAATTTCGCCCTTCTGGCTCTGGCCACAGTTAGTGCGACTCCAGTGGTGCAGCAGGCGGGCAGCTCGGAATTCACTTCTTCGATGTCCCGCTTTCTTCAAGCTTTTAAAAGCATCATGCCCTGTGGCTACGGAGAAATACCTGTATTGGCTCCTGTCGCAATTCCCTTCTACGAATTCGAAGTTGCCACCGAAGACCTCTCCATAGCCGGCAACGTGACCAACATTCAAGTCCAGGGGCTTGACAGCTTTGAGGTTCTAAGTGCCAGCGACTACGGTAAAACTGGAGAGGCCTCTTACGATGTGCTTTTTCCCAAGATCCAATTGCTTGGCTTTGCGAAAGTTGATGGATTCATCAATATAGGCGGCTTTAAGTTGCCCATTCGACAGAATGACGTGATCAACGAAGCGTTTTCAGACCTTCGCTTCGTGGGAAGCTACAGCTTTGCCAATAGCCAAACCAACTCATCAGGCCTACGCATAGTGGACTTTCAGCAGTCCATCTATTTGGCGGGGGTGGAACTGGACAACTGGAACAAACTGTGGGACATCTCTACCAACAACTTCTGGAATCGCTGGATAAAGACTCTGATTCCACTGGCCCTCGAGGAGATTCAGCCCAACATTACTAACTTCCTTTACCAGAACTTCGTGATTCCAAAGGCTAACGATCTGTTAGCCAACGTGACAATGAATGAGTTAGTAAACTTCTTTCAATCCAAGGCTAAGCTTTGGGATAACGCCAACTGTCAAGCTTAGATGTCTTAACTCAAAGTAGCTAAACTACTGGGCGCAAATACGAACAGTAAACTTCAAGAAATTGGATTATTTTAAAAACAAAATATATAAATTATATTTTAAACATTTTTTATTCATTGTTTTCACAAATAATTGAGCACCCGCAAACCTAAATCACTTAAAGTGGATCTAATGGACCGAATGAAAAGTCTTAATGCACACAATTTCGGTTAACTCTTGAAATACAAAGTAAAAGTACATGTCCCATTTTTCTGAATTTTAATGAACTAAATTAGCATAAAATACGAATGACAGGAACTCCCCTGGTTCCTTCTACATTTCTTCTCCACCCAGTTTACCCACTTAATTTGTCAAAAATAATGACACGGTTTCAGCAGACACTTTTGGGATTTGGGCAAACAGCAAAACCGTCAACGCAAAAGGTCAGCCAGAACTAGTTAGTTGCTTTGAAGATTTGGTTGTTACTAGGCCATACTCACCCACAATATTCGAAAGATATGTATGGGGCATTTTTAATTCGAACTGAGTAGCCAAGGGGTATGGGAGCAAACGGGGAGATAACTTAAAAGTCATGATGGGTATTAAAACTCCAACCCCTTTGCATAAGCATTCTCTGTACATACGAACCCTAAGCTGAATATGTTGGCAGTCGGTTGGGTCGGCAAACCCTTATCAAAATATTTATATGACTTCACATATGCTAAACGCAGAAACTGTTTGAAAAGAGCACCGGAACCACCCAACCAACGCTCCTGTATGTAAAAAAAAATGTTTAATGGCCTGTAATCTGCTTAAAACTTGGACATGAGTTCAATTTGCCAAATGGCAGCCAAAACCGAACAGGGGAAGGCCGAGGGACAAGGATTTAAAGCTGCCATCATATGATTCGGTTACATTGTGGGCCGCCTCTGACTCTTTTTTTTAATTTATAATTCTGCACGGTAAAAGAGGCCTTTGCTGTTATATTATTTTACTTTTAATTAATGCCCACACACATCCATCTCAGTGGGTTTTAGCTCTTCAAGAACGGTCTTTTCCCAGATGCATATTTGAACCAAAAAAATCCACTGAATGTGAAATAGTAGCAAAAAGGTTTTACATCCTGACTTTGACCCAAAATTCAATTTGTGGACTTTGTGCTTTGTTGATGGGCGTGTGCCTGCTTTGACCCTTCCACTGCTCCACAGAATGGTTTCTTTCAGAAATTGAATTTTTTATATGCCGACAGGAAAGAAGGTTCAAATGGATTTAAAGACAAAATTAATTTCATCTATTTTGATGAAAGAAAATAATTGGGTCATCAAATTTTTTTTAGACAATTGTTGAAAATGTAATAAACAAAAGCGAATAAAAAAACCGAAAATATATTTATGTTTTAAGAAAGCAACGAAGCTTGGTGGTATTAGATTATTAGTTCTCCACCCAAACCTCTCGTAGAGATTCCACAAATGAAGCGAATATTTTGTTTCCCGGTTGCACCCTGATCTCACATCATTTTAGGTCTTATCTTCTATAAAGACATAATAAATTTATAACAATATAAAGTGAAGATGGAAAATGTATCATTTTTTATGCCAGGAAGATATAATTTTTCAAGATAAGTTTTCCTGGTGAACTTTTTAATACCAACGCGATTTTTGGCCCGCAAAAATGGTAATCAAGGAGTTTGTATAAAACGGCTCTTCCCTCAAAAAACTAACCACTTACCTCCAAACTATCGTTTAATTTCTGCGCCAATTCAAATAAGGAGGCCGGGCGCTCTCGCACACTTTTTAAACTTCAATAATCCAACCACCAATGTACCAAATATTAAACATAGAGCCATTCCTTCTTGTTAAAAAACATTCGAATCAAGCGACACACACATGGACTCATAACGCAATAAAATAATTTAATGGGAGTTATATACAAGAGGGTGTGGGAAACTTTTAGCAAAGAGAAAATCACTGTCTGAAGAATGCTGGTAGCAATATTATTAATCAAATTTCAACAAAGTTAGGAAAAGAAAAAAATTAAAAAGAAAATATTCATAAACAGAGCGCAAGCCAAATGTAAATTGAGAAAAATAAAAAAAAATACAAAAGGTGAAAAGTAAAGGAATTAGGAAAATATACAACAATGCAGAAATGGAGGAAGAACAGAGATGGAAAACCTTTGGAAAACTTTAAAGACACGCAAAAACGGGAAAAGGACAGGGCTCAGGAGTGCGGTGGCAAGAGAATGCCGAATGTCGCCAAATTAAATTAGAATCGTATAAAAGAATAATACATTCTGCCAAGGGGGTGGTAGCTACTTCCACTGAAGCCGTATTCAATATGACACTGAGAATAAAAAAATTTTCCAATAAAAATCTTTCCAGAGCATCAGTATTTTTTGTGCATTTGCGTATAAACATTGAAAAATAACAAATATTTAATAAAGATAAATATTTTAATTTGAAAAAATATTTCTTTAGTAATTCTTGACTGATGTTTTATAGCTCAAACTCTTTTTCCTCTGTTTTCCGCTGCTGTATTACAAGCAAGAAAGGCAAATGTTGACATGAGGCATTTGACTGCCCTGCAGGCTTCAAACGCAACGACCTGAAGAATCTGGCTTTGGTAAAAGGTGTAATAAGAAATTCCCGCCCTTGCAAGGCAAAAAGAACTGCAGGAAAACATAAAATAATAAACATAATTTACCTGCCTTTGTCGTCGCATTTTATTATTAACAGGAAAATGCGTTGAATTTCATTAAAAGTTATGTTTCACTCCGACATTGTTTGCCCTGCTGCACGCACAATCAAAGTTCTTAATGTCTGTTGAATGCCTTCAGGCGACAGCAACTGAAATTAGCAACGGAGCCTTGTCCAAGGAGAAAATTCTGTACCGTGTGGGGTGGAAGGAAAGCGGAGTTCGTAAGCCATTTAGCTGCACTGACATTTGCCGCAGGTGAGCCATGGGAACGGAACCAAATCAAACCGAACTAAGCCATGCCAAGAGGCAACCAAAGGCTAACAAAGCCAACTAAAGTAAATGCTAATCTTGTTGTCCCCTGACCCGCTGATATCCCCTTCTCTCGGCACACCTACCACCCATCTGAGCCGCAACACCTTTGGCTCCATTGAAAGCCTTTGACGCTTTGCATGGTAACATGTTTGACAAGTGACAGTACAGCGTACAGCAGTAAAGCGCAGCAGGAAACTACCGTGGACAGGAGAGTTGCCGCCGAACTAAGCGATCCGGTGTACAGAAAACAACAAAACATATTGCGCTTTTTTAACCATTTTTCAACCGAATTAATTGAGCCCTTTAAATCGGAGAATAATGCTTATAAACAAATAAGAAATATATTATATATTTTCGCTTTGAGTTTTTATTGAGACTAGTTTCTGCAAAGGAATTTACGACAAACATACACCTTTATTTTTTGTCGTCATCATTAATTTATTAACGTTGTTCAAAAGTTTTATTTTTGTAAGCCGAAGCTTACCACCCTTGAATTTTAAACTTAAATCTATGTATGTATAAATCGACTAGATTCATCATTAATCGTACAGTGTCAACCATAAAGTGTATAGTATAGTACATCCTAAATTCGGAATGGTAAAAAAATAAATACAGTCGACTCTCATTAATTCAAACCTGCGATAATTCGAACCTCTCTATAATTCAAAGTTATCACGAGGTCCCTACGAAATCTCTTTATATTTCGAACTAAATCAATACATTTTCATACACTTGGTAATTCGAACGAAAAAATCATTGATATTTAACAAAACCACTCGTCAATTCGAACTCATCAGCGTCTAACACTCGACAATTCAAAGTAGCAGAGAAAAAAATTTTGCAACAAGTTCAAACTTGCCTTTGTTTTTGTTTTGATTATGTAGTTTTTGACGCACACACTTCTTACGAATTGGTTTGTGTAGTTATTCAGTTACTGTTACTCTTTCGTTGGTATGCATATTAAAAGTTAGTGTTAGCTATGAGCCCTAGAAAGATGATGAAAAAGTATTTCATGCACTTTTTCTCTTAAAAAAGTTATTGAGCAGTGTGAGCAGCAGAATTGTGCTTTAAAGCAAGCCAGTATAACAAAGTTCTTTCGAAAATTTCGAACCATTTGATATTTCAAACACTCGATAATTCGAAATATTTCAAGAGTCCCTCGAGTTTCGAATTAACGAGAGTCGACTGTATAAACAATTATGCTGATCTAAAATGTATTTACACACTTAGAAGGTGTCTCCTTCACTGCGTTGCAAACTACTCCTAAAATGAGTTTACCTTTCACATTGGTGTTTCCTCTTTCCTTTTTTTTTACTTTACCATCCAAAACAAAAAAAAAACAATTTAAAGTTTGAAGACCTATAAATTTTCCATCCTCCCATGCGATCATCTGGATTATTTAAAGCGACTACAGCATTAAAATACAAAATATTTAGTAGTCGTTGGCGGGGGCAGTCGACCCTGGAGTGAAACACATTCAGGACTCAGCACCAGTGATACAGATGAACGGCGGGGCAAGATCCACTACGGAGAGAATCAAAAAACATTTTACTAGCGTATTTCAACTGTAACAAATGTCCTAGGGCCATTGACAGAAGACCGGTGTGGGAAGCGAAAAATGCAATGACCACTGCGAGGGGTTTATCGGGCCACCGAGGGGGAACTGAGCAAACGCAAAAGCTGACATCATCCACAAAATCTAAAGCCAACGACAATCGAAGGCACAGACCACGAGAGAGAACGGAGTGGAAGGATGGAGCGGGGAATAGGTAGCACGGAACCTGGCTGAAACTGCACTTTAAAAAAATACTGTATGTTTTAGACTGGCTTGTTTTTAGATTTTCCTCAAGATTCGAATTTGAATTTGCGGCGTCTAGAATAAGAGTGGTTTCAGGTCTGATGTTTTTTATAGTGGTCTTCACAGTAATACTTTGATGAGTTTAATAATCTTTTAAAATTATAGAAATTCCTCATACAGTGCACTGAAACGTAGCAAAGAGTTACATTCCCTTA